GATTAATTTATTAATTTTCGTGTACAAATAATGAACTTTGTGATGAATAAAACTTGAAGAACATTGTCTCTAAACAGTTACATAGTTATTTCTCAAAATTGAAAAAATGCAGCACTTTTATATAAAAAAAACTAAATTAGCATTATTTGGTTGCAGTTGTTTTGTCCAATACTGTATATATATATATATATATATATATATATATATATATATATATATATATATATATATATATATATATATATATATATATATATATATATATATATATATATATATATATATATTTTTTAACTTTGCTGTGTGCATATATTCAGCAAGAGTGTTCGATGAATTATCAGAGCTGTATAATTAATTTTTTGACGAGGTTAAATAAAAATTAAATAAATAATTTTTACTATTAAAAGTTTCATGCGTTTTGCAATTATCAGGTAAAAAAGATACATTGATTTTTTCGTTAAAAAAATATACTCTATACACGCATCGTGACGTTCAAAAGCAATTATAAAACTGTCAATATTTGCAAACGTGGTTTGGTTTTTTAATTATTGGGCTCGTGGTTGTCAAGCATGTTGTCAAGCAACTTGTTTTCGTGACGGCACAGATATTATTTCTGTTTTTTTTATTTAATAATTTTTGTTTTTAAAAAGCATTTGAGTTTACACATTGAGCAAAACTTGCTCAATGTGCCAACTCAAATGTTAGTATGACAGCTTTTTTTTTTTTTGGGGGGGGGGGGGGGACACCCCGACACCTATCTTCGGGACGGCTCTGATTGCAGGGTGGGTATTCTTTTGGTCTTTCTGAAATGATTTCCTTGTTGTGGCTTTTTACTATTCTTTCGATATTTTTGGTGCAGCTGTAACTCACTTTGATGGTATTTCGATTAAAAAGTTTACTTAGGGGGTAAGATGTCGGATAATGTTTGTCAATTAAGTTTAGGAAGATATGTCCAACTTTGGTAGAAATGCTTTTACTATACGGGGGGTTGCACCATATAATTTTTTTTTGGAGGTTATATTTTAAATTAAAACCAGTGAAGCCATTTCTTTTTAATTCATCTTCGTATTCTGGTATAGACTAATTATATGTTTTTTCATTTGAGGCATTTTGGGTTAACCTGTCGTTAATAGAGATGGGGATTTGCTTTATTATTTGCGGAGGATAGTTGGAATCAGTGCGAATGTAACGTAAATTTTCACTTTATTTTTTGAAAGATTGGTAGGAGTTTTTTTCTAAGTTAAAGGATACATCTAAGAACTTGACTGCGGCTCGGTTTGTTTGGATCTTTGCCGTCTGTTTGGATCCCTGCCAAAAGTGAACTTGGTCACATAAGTAAAAAGTACCTTAACACTATAAATAAAAAACTAAGAAAAGTATTAAATTTAAACCATTTGAACCTATAAACCTAGTTAAACCTACGCGACGATTTTTTGACAAGTATCTTAAAACCTATTTCTTTCCACGTATAGAATAAACAGCGTATTTTTTGAAAAGATTACATTCTGTTTATTTGATTCTTTTTTTTTTTTTTTTTTTTTTTTTCCCCAGAAAAATATGAACAAGGTAAATTTACATTGAATATATTACTGGTAGGACTTCCAGAAGATCACATGATCTTATCATGAAGCCCTTTACAATCTATATAACGAATTAAAAGGTAGAAAATTTACAAATATTAAAAATTACATAAGCGTTAGAATATTCTTCAGATGTTAAGCAAGTTTTAACATAATATTTTATAATATGGATATATAACATTCTCAATATTGAACAATATTATAATATAAAGTATTCAGCATATATTGTTTAAATAATATTCATCACACAGTCGACAAAAATATCAAATAACTTGAAATACTAAAAATAAATAAATATATTTTGTGTTGAAAAGATTATTTCTTTTGTTTTCTTTTTAAAGGAGGAATAAGACCATTTAAAAGAAAAATCAAAGTTAGGTAAAACTATTTTATTCCAAAGAAATGGACCACGATAAGAAATACAAAACTGGTCAACTTTTGTTTTGCAAAACGGCTCTTGAATATTTTTACTATCACGAAGTTCATATTTGTTTTTTGGTTTCAAATTATAGAGATTTATAAATACACTTGGAGATAAATTTTCTTTACATTTAAACATAAAACATAAAATATTAAAAATATTTAGTTCGTATATATTTAAAGCTTTCATTTCTATAAGATGTGGTGTTGAGCTTGAAAAACGATTTCCAAAAATAATTATGCGAGCTGCGTGTTTCTGATGCCGATAGAGAGATTTAAGTTTGGTTTTGTGAGCGCTTCTCCATATAATATTGGCATAGTTTATATGGCAATGAATAAATAAATAATATAATTGAGTTAGTTGCTTTTTATTTAGTATATATCGAGCTTTGTATAGAACTCCAATGTTTTTAGCAACTTTCATTGAAATACTATCAATTTGCTGACTCCAAGAGAAGTTTTCATCTATTATGACTCCTAAAAATTTTGTAAATTTTTCTCTTTTTATGATTGTATTGTCAATGAATAGGTCAGGTAAGATATTTTGGATTCTCTTTTTTTTAGAGGTTGGGTGAAAAAGTATAAACTTTGTTTTATCCGTATTCAAGGACAATTTATTTTTTCTAAACCAATATGATATTCTTTTTAATTCATTATTCATATTATTAAAAAGTATTTCTATGTTTTCGTGCGACTGAAATAAATTCGTATCATCTGCAAAATTTACGGTCGTTAGGGTAGAAGCTTTGTAAAGATTATTTATGTATAATACAAATAATAGTGGTCCAAGTATGGACCCTTGGGGGACACCGCATGTTATATTTTTTATTATTTGCGATGAAGATTCTTTGTTATAAACAAATTGTTTGCGGTTACTTAGATAGCTTTTGAACCAATTTAGGGTTTTATCTTTTATACCATAGCTCTCTAGCTTTTTTATTAAAATATGATGATTAACAGTATCAAAAGCTTTTGACAAGTTAATGAATATGCCTAGTGTGAATTGAGAATTCTTAAATGAATCGGCTATACTGCGTGTTACTTTGAGAATTGCGTGTTCAGTAGAACTGTTTCTCTGAAAACCAAAATGATTTTTATAAAGGAGTTTATTATCAATAAGATAAGTGTAAATTCTATTATACATTATTCAAATTTTATAGCATTCGGCATATATTTGTGTTTGTCTTATGTTTGCTAGTAATTTCTTTCATTATTTGCCACACCCGCCTTGAATTATGCTTGTGTTTTATAAGCAAGTCAGAGTAGTAAATTTGTTTGGCTTTTTTTCGGAGTTTTTCAAATAGATTTTTGTAAACTGCGTAGTTATTTTTATGTTTGTCGGATTTATTTTTAAGATATTTAATATAGAGTTTTTGTTTTATTTTTGATGATTTTTTTATTCCTTTAGTTATCCAATGACAAGATATGTCTTTGGCGTTAAGAACTATTTCTCGAATAGGAAAATTTGCTTCATATATTTCGTAAAATATATTAAAAAAAGATTTGTAGATGACATTTATATCCTCATTAAAGTTTATGTAGCTCCAGTCTTGGTGTAAAAGTTGCTCTTTATATAAATTTAAGTTATTGTTGCTATAAATTCGTTTTTTTAATGTTATTTTACCATTCGTATTTGTTTTGTGGTCAGCGCCTAAGCAGAAAAAAATTGGAAAGTGATCCGAAACATCGGTTTTTATAATACCTTTTTTGAGTGTAATATTGAAATAGTCATTGGTAAGAACGTTGTTAATTAAGGAGGATGAAGACTTTGTAATTCTAGTAGGTTTATTTATAATGGGTATTGTTCCCGTTTCAAATAAATGATTATAAAACTTTGTTATATATTTTGTTTCATTATACTGGAAGCAGTCAAGGTTGAAATCCCCCAGTATATAATTTTTTTTCTTTTCTTGGCTAGTTTTTTCTATTATACTATGAACTAGATAATTGCTTAGGTACTCAGTTCTTCCGGTTGGTGGCCGATAACAGCAGCTTAGTAAAATATTTTGATTCTATAGTTTATATAAATTTATTGTTATAAAGAAAGCTTATTTTGCAATCATTAAGAGATATATAATACTTATAATTTTTATGTTGATTTTTGCAATGTTACTTCAGAGTATATTGATAAATTAAGGTCATCCTTATAAACAATTATATTTAAATGTTTATAAAATTATTTCTGTTTTTATCTTATAGTATTTAAGTGCCATTAATTTTTTAGATAAACTGAAAAAAAAGAATTTTCAGTTTAAATGAACCAACTTTTCAGTCGTCAGGATCACTAATAATTCAATCCGGTTAATAGTTTTCAAATTTACGGCCCGAATTTCAAAGAAATTAACCTTTAAAAACTTTTTTGAAAGTTGATTATATATACCAATAGGAGTCCAAAATAAGCCATCCTAAAATTCTGACCTAAAAACAAGACAAAAGTTTTTTTGGCCTAAAAACAAAACTTTTTTCTGGCCTAAAAACAAAACTTATGTTTTTACAATATTTTGCGTAAATGCATTTTATTTGTAACCTTTAACTTTTCGTTCATAACTTATTTTTGAAATCAACAAAAAGCGTTGTCAACAGGGCTGTCCCGAGCGGGGGGTGTAGAGGTGTCTCACCCCTTCAAAGCTTTTTTATAAGCATTTGAGTTAAGAAGTTTTGAAGTAGTTGGCAAATATTGAGAACCTTTTTTTTTCTAACCTCTAGTTGGCAAAAAACACCTACGAACTCCCCCCACCCCAATATTGAAAATACAAGGCTAGTCGTTACTTATATAAACTTGTTTGTTGTTAGAAAGTTAATTTTTTGTACCATATCATCTTAGTTGTAATGTTTTATGATTTTTGTAACTTTTTGTAACTTTTTTACTTTTATATGCAAGCACTAGTGATAAAGTCATTTTTATAAAAATGTACAGACTTTGCTTTGTACTCCGCATGGAATGACGGTGAATGGAATGACGGTGCAATAAAACTCAAATTTAAAATATAACTACTAGCGTAGGTTTTACTCTTATTTTATTCCTTAAAACTGATAAAATTGAATGGAAATATCCAAAAGACAAATCATTTAGTTCTCATTTGCAGATCACCAAGACAAAATATTTAGATCACCCAATGATCATATGTAGGTCATAATGATTTTCAGTTCGAAGTTAATTCAAACTTCGGCCAGCTTACAGCATCAGCTTTCTTTAACTTAAGCTCAACCTTTGTACCAAGGTATTCTACAGAACTTTTTTCTGGAACAATCACCTGAAAACAAAATTGAAAAATATAATGAATAACACTTTTTAATAAATAAAAATAAAATGATCACATGATGTCAAACGAACAAAAAATGAATATCAAAAGCAATATTATTTTCGCTGTATTCACAAACGACAATAAATATAAATATATATATATATATATATATATATATATATATATATATATATATATATATATATATATATATATATATATATATATATATATGTATATGTATATATATATATATATATATATATATATATATATATATATATATATATATATATATATATATATATATATATGTATATATATATATATATATACATATATATATATATATATACATACATATATATATATATATACATATATATATATATATATATATATATATATATATATATATATATATATATATATATATAAAATCAATTACCCCGTATAACTTTAGATCTAAAGAAAAAGTGTTTGTCCCTCCATTAAATGCAATTGAAATAGAAACCTAAATAATAGAAAATTAAATAATAAAAAATAGAAAATTAAATAATAAAATTTATAAATTTAAGAAGTAAAAACCATAACATTTAATAACAGTTGAATGTTATTAAAAAATTTATATACTTAATTTCATTAACAAAAAAATATACCAGTCATAATGTTTTACTACTCTTAAATATCTTTTTATAAAAAAAAATAAAATTGGTTTTTCTTGATAGTTCCGCATTAAGATCTTATGATGAACCATCAAACCTAAACTAGTTATTATTCAACATGACTAATTTAAAGTTAAACTTTAAATGACTGTATATATATATATATATATATATATATACATATATATATATATATATATATATATATATATATATATATATATATATATATATATATATATATATATATATATATATATATATATATATATATATATATATATATATATATATATATATATATATATATATATATATATATATATAGAAATAAATTTCTAGTAAAAAATTTTAATATTAAAAAAAAATTAAATTAAATATATTTTTACCCCAGTAGGATTAGCTTCTACAATGGATTTTTCTGGATCTGAAACTTTTGCATAAATTGATAAAATAACATAAGAACTCGTTTGATGCCAATCAAATCTAAATATATGTAGGTATGCATATATATATATATATATATATATATATATATATATATATATATATAAACTATAGTTTGAAAATCAGCTTTTAACTATCAGGTACACTTTATGTAAAAAATAATTAATATTTAATAGAAAAATATTATCATTTTTTTAAAAATCACTAAAATGCAACTTTATAGACTGGAATATTTTTAAATTTTTAAAAAAAATAAAAACATTCTTAATGTTTTTATTTTTATTTTTTAACTGTACATCAACTGACAAATAGGTAGAATATGCACGAAATGCTGCTACATCAACTGATAAATAGGTGGAACATGTGAGGAGTGCTGCTACAATGAGTGAGGGTTTTGGTTCGTCAATTAACATTAAAAACATTAATATAGTCATACTCTTGAGTCCTTGATACAAGGTGAGTTAATAAAAGGGTAGGTGGGAATTTTAGTCTAGATCTAATAAACGGGGGAAGGGGGGGGGGTTAATGAAAGGGAAGAAGGCATTTTTTTATGTTATAATAAAAATATTTTTAAAAAAATTTCAATTTATAAATCCAAACTAAAATTTTTTAGAAAGCACTCATAAAACTATTTAAATCTAACGTGGCTTGCAGACAAATGCGCATTTTCTAACAGTTGTTATATAATAATTTCAATAGGATTTAATTTGCTGATATAAGTTTATACTTTGATAAAAAATATATTAAAAGCTCAAATCGACAAATCGAAGTTTACTTGTTCGGCGATTTTTAAAGCCTGTTTACAATAAAAGTTTTTGTTTTTAAAAAACTTTCAGTGTATACAGGGGGGAGGGGGGTCTTATAAGCTTGGGGTGGGTTGAAAAATTTTCCAAAAAATTAATAAACATCTCCCTCCCTTTTATTAGGGACTCGAGAGTAAATACAAACACAAAAAAATGGAATCAGAATTTTTTTTTAACTACTTCCACATGTACTGAAAACTTGTATTTCAATAATGTATTTCTGTTAGTTTTATAATTATAGTAGCCTATATTTATATTGTTAATTATTTAAAAAATAATTATATTTATATAATTATATATTTTAATTAATAATTATATATTTTAATTGTTGTTTCAGTTTAAATAAATTTTGGATGTCTTCTATCAGATCATCCACTGAAAGCATATTCAATCATTTTTCAATCATTCAATCAATACCAGATCATTCACTGAAAGCGTATTCCTCAATCATTTAAGTTGCCAACTTGCAGAAGGACCTACCGATTGTTTTCAAATATTAAATTTTTTTTCATTTTTCAATCATCTATCATAGCAACTGCTGAAGTGCTCAAATTAAATGAGGACTATTCAGTAAAAACTGACATTTTATGATAATCGAAGTGCACAACTAGTGGATTAATTTGAAAAAAAGATATAAGTAGATAAACAGCTACTGAAGTATAAAAAAGAAACACGTTTAATGCCAAACTATTTTAAACACAATAATGCAAAACTAGATAAAACATGGGCTGGTGACAATAAAAGTAATTAAAAAAATGAAATAATGAAGATGAAATTTTTTTTCTTGAAAATATGAAAAATAATATAACATTTTCTATGGGTGGTTTAAATAAAAAATTTAATGAAAAAGTGAGAAAAAAAGAAGAAAGAGAGAAAATAAACACTAATAGAAAAGGAAAATTAAATCCTCATTTACTAAAAATTTAATTGATATAGAATGTGAATGCCAAGAACTTCAGAATGATCACAATGAAAAGAAAGAAAAAAGTTTTCTTTTTATATCACCATACACTATAAAACTCCGAAAAATAAAAAGATCTATTACTGAAATATAATTAACGTCAAAGGCAGCAGTTTCTCGAATCAAAAACTTAACATTTTGGAGACAAATTATATGAAGAAGGAAATTATTTTATTGTACATTTTGATGGCAAAATATTTAAACATGTTTGTTATGCTGACCAAAACGAGGAAAGAATATCCATACACATAACAAATGAAGAATATTTAAAGCTTTTGTAACTAAAAAAATTGGAACATGGGAATGGTCAGTGTATTCAAGAAGCTGTAATAAAAAAATTGCATAGTTTAAATCTTATTGGGAAAAAATTGGGAATATAATGACACAACTGCTGTGAACTGTGGCCAAGATCAACGTTTGCCTGTCAAGGGACTTTACTTACCTTGTTGCCACCATATAGCAGAAACTATGGTTTCAGTTGCACTGACTATACTTGGATCTTCTGTTGCACCAATTGAAGGTGTTTTTAACTTATTTCGAAAAGCATTGAAACCAAGAAATGACTATTAGGAAATGTTGGAGGTAATATTTTTTTTTCTTATGAATGATTCATCAAGAGAATTAAGATTTAATTTTATTTTCAGGTAAAATTTTTAAAGCCTAAAGCTAATCGTGCAGCCATTTAAATAATAATGTATTTTTATAAAAATTAGAAAAACTGTTACTTAAGGTTACATAAACAATACCTCTAACTTAATTGACATTACGAGAAAAAATATATATTTTGTATAAGTATTGGATATGCCTAATATATGTGCATTTATATATATATATATATATATATATATATATATATATATATATATATATATATATATATATATATATATATATATATATATATATATATATATATATATATATATATATATATATATATATATATTAGGGTGTTTCAAAAATAGGTCATGTCTGAAAAAAAAAAAGAGCCCTAGCTTATCATCTGCCCAGACCATGATTTAGTACTAAAAATTTTTTTTTTTTTTTTTTTTGAAAACTCTAAGGGTTCCTTCAGGGGGTAAAAGGGGCAATTTTTAGGGCATTTCGTACCATTTTTAAAACTGTTTGTAGGAAGTCTTGACATTAATTTTTTTTTTTTTTAATATATATTTATGTTTGTAAAGACTTATTTAATCCAAATAACATGGGCTCTATTCTCAAAAAAATATTAAAAATTTATAAAAATTGCTTCAAAAAACTCTAAAATTCATAAATATTTAACAAAAAAAAAACATTTTTACATTGAACATAGTTTTACATTTTTAAAATGAAGATTTAAATTTTTTCAGTAATTAATATGTTTTCTTGAAATGTATTTTACATTAAATTTTTATTTTTAGATTATATATTCTAAAAATTAATAAAATGACACCAAAAAAAAAAGTTAGAAGTATTAGATTGGATAAAATATTTTTAGTTAAAAAGTTAATCGAAAAACTTCCAGCTAAAAAATTTGCAACTGCTAAAGAGATAGTTCAATATTATCTCTTTTTACGAAAGTCAAAGAGTGAAGCAAAACTGAGGTTACTCATAGGTTGTCCGAATAAAAGTTCTTCTTTTACACCTAATTGTCCAGTTGATCAGTCTGACTGCTGCATACTGTCCAAACTACTAATGGTTCCTTGGATACTTGGTGGATTTAGAGTGCTTACAATACAAAAGTTAAGGTAATCTTTTCAATAAGTTCTAAATCATTTTAGTCCATGTTTAATCCATAATTATATTATTATATAATATTTTTACAGGATTAAAATTGAGAAATTGTTGAAGGAATGGATGAAATTAAAAGATCAAAGATACAGAACAAATCCTGCTGAAATAAAAAAAAAACATTTATTTGAAGAGCAAATGAGTAAAGTATTTTGGATTGGAAAACATCCTAATGTTATGTTTGAGGAAATATTAAAAGATAAAATGAGAAAATTGAAAGACAAGGAAGAAGATATTGCTTTCTTAAAAGACCAACTGGATGAAAGAAAAGGAAGTCTTGGAGGTAGAGATAAAAGATATGAATATTCTGTAATCAGAAGTAAAAGAAGCACATCAAAGTTCAGTAAAAATCCGTCAGTAGAATTAAATAAGAATGATTCAGATTATCTAAGTTCTGCTAGTTATACTAGCGATGAATTAGGTGAAGAAACAGATATTGACTTTGATTTTAATGAGCATCCTAATGATCAAAATTCTGTTCTGCTTCCTAAAAATATCCTTCACTCAACCGCTCATACAGCAGTGGGAGAAGGTATAACACCCCATCAACATACAGCATTGATTAGTAGTGTTATTGTTATGTCTGGTGGTTCTGTAGCAAACTTTAATTGTTCTAAATCCACATCTTATAGAGCTGCGGAGAACATAATATCTGCCAGGGCAAAAGAAATAAGAGAATACATAAAAAACATTGTAATATTATCAGATTCACTAATGACTATACACTTTGACGGAAAAATAGTTAATGAACTAACAGAGAGAAAGCAATTTAAAAAAGATAGAATTGCAGTTTTGCTAAGAATTGATAAAAAAACAGAACTACTTGGCATTCCTCCAATAGATTCTAGTTCAGGGGTTAATCAAAAGCAAGCTATAGTGGAATTGATGGAGTATTTTGGATTAAAAGATAAGGTCAAATGTCTCTGTTTCGACACAACTTCAGCAAATACAGGAAGATGGCAAGGTACTTGCATGAAATTAATTCAACAAGTTCAACGTCCATTGTTGTTGATTGCATGTTGACATCATGTAATTGAACGACACATAGCCCATTTCTGGAAGATTTACCCAAGCAGCGAAACTTCTGGTCCAGAAAACAAACTATTTGAAGTTTTAAAACAAAACTGGAACAGTATAGATGCTGAAACTAAGGAACTGAAAAGAATAATAATACCACCTGGAACATGGATATATAATCAAAAATTAGCTGCTGTTCAGTTTTGTAATAATGTGATCAGTTTGAAGATCTTCAAAAAGGTGATATTCTTATTTTTATTAATTTGATTCCTATTCTAACTTTCTAACTTTTAAAAAGTAACATTTATTACTAATTTAAAAGGTATCAAAAACATTTTAGGACAGAAATATAAGAAAAGAATACCACGAGCTAGCTGAACTTACTTTAATGGTTTTATCATCAAATAGATTTAAATTTCATTTACCGGGACCAATTCACCATTCAAGATTTATGGGAAAAGGTTTATACTATTTAAAGTTGTATCTTTTAATGAATGAAATCCAAAACCTAACTGACAAACATAAGGAAGAAATAACTGGTATGGCTTTGTTCATAAGCCTTTTCTATACAGAGTGGTTTCTAAAAGCAGAGTTAAGTTCTTTGGCACCAACACAGGTATACAGCCTTTTAATATTTTATTAATAAGTTAGAAAGCTCAATATTGGTTAAAGTGATTCAAAATGTTAATTAATGTTATTTATTAGGATATAAAAGCTTATTGGCAAATGAAAAGGTTTGAGGAATGGAATCTACTTGGCTCTCGAGCTGTTGCTAACTCTATTCTCAGACATACTTGGTATCTGGATCCAACTTTAGTAGTTTTTGCCCTAGCAAATAAAGAATGTAGGGAACGTGGTGATATGGCCAAAAAACTATATAGTTTACAAAGATGTCCAAGTGAAAGTTTTCCTTTGGAACGCCAGGTAATGGACCAAGCTATATTGAATAGCCTCAACTTCAGTAAAGATGAGCCCCCTAGTTTGACTCCACTAGTAACAGAAAAGTCGTGGCTTGTTTTTGTCATGCTTAAGCATGGAAAAGCAGAAACTCAATGGATGAAGACTCCACCAGAAGTTTGGAAATTTAATGATTTTTATGTAGAATTTAGAGCAACAGTTAAGGGACTTGATGTTGTTAATGACTGCTCTGAGAGGGCATTTAAGTTAGTTCAAGACCTAATAAACAGAGCATATTCTGAGGGGAAAAGGCAGGACACATTTCTATTTACAAATAGTTATAAGAAAAACAGAAAAGGCAGGAAAAAAACAGATTACGAAAAAGCCGCAAATAAAGACTAGTTTCATTTTTTTGTTTATAACAATTTTTCAAGAAAGAATAGAGAGGATCATAACTTCACTAGGATTTCTGTATTTTAATATAAAAGAAACTTTACTACTGATTTAAAATCTTTTACAGTTTTATACTTTTAATTTTTTTTAAGTTTGAGAACAAACAGTATGGTTTTAACTGTTGATTACAAAAAATCTTCATTCCCTGTCCAGGCCTTCCCTTTAATATATTTCTCAAAGTAACCCCTGAAACTGATATAAATGAGAAATCAATATAGTACTGTATTAAAAGTAAATAAAAACATAATGTAATTTTTAGGTTTTAAATATAATTTTAAAATATTTTGTACTTTTATAAGCTTTACTAAATATTTATGAATTTTAGGGTTTTTTGAAGCAATTTTTATAAATTTTTAATATTTTTTTGAGAATAGAGCCCATGTTATTTGGATTAAATAAGTCTTTACAAACATAAATATATATTAAAAAAAAAAAAAAAATTAATGTCAAGACTTCCTACAAACAGTTTTAAAAATGGTACGAAATGCCCTAAAAATTGCCCCTTTTACCCCCTGAAGGAACCCTTAGAGTTTTCAAAAAAAAAAAAAAAAAAAAATTTTTAGTACTAAATCATGGTCTGGGCAGATGATAAGCTAGGGCTCTTTTTTTTTTTCAGACATGACCTATTTTTGAAACACCCTAATATATATATATATATATATATATATATATATATATATATATATATATATATATATATATATATATATATATATATACAATAAATAATTTGTGGCAGGAAATGTTAACTTCTATAATTTAATGTTCCGCCTAACTTAGTAACAAATTTGGTGGACAATTAAATGAAGTTTATGCAGTAATAATATAATTTTATACACTTGTAATGCAAATTTTATGCAGAATTAATGAATGTAACTATGATGAACAACTATTATGTAATAATAAAATTTTACACAAGCTTACATAAACTTAAGTTCGCTTTAGTATACTAATATCAAGATATTTATGAACACTTTTTTGTTAAAGGACTAACATTCATTTAATATATGTTTTTATACTGATTTTTATTAATATATAAAACCTATTTATGTAAATTAAAGCTCAGCATGGTATCAAATCATGATATGGCCATTAATCGAATGTTTAAACATTGTCAAGTCTTTTTGCTATTGTTTTGCTATTAAATTTTTAGATTAGAATGAGAAGTTATTTAAAAAAACTAGTAAAAGAATGTAATTCAATGGAGGTAGCTTTTTGACTTTTAACAGGAGTTCATTAAGAAATGCTGCCGAAAAAATGAATCTTAATCACAGCATCCTTTGCAGGTAATTTATGTATTCTGCACTAATAAGTATTTGACAAATTCTAAATGTGTATTTTTATGAATACAAATATTTTAAAAGAAGCATAAATCACTATGAAACCCAATTTTTCTACAAGAAGAGTATTTACTGAAGAGAAAGAAAATACTTTATAGCAGTATATTGTCACCTGTATTCAAATGTGTCATGGACAGTCTGTTGTAAATTTAAGATCTATTGCTTTTGATATGGCTATTAAAAAAAAAAAAAAAGTTCCTAGTAACTGGATTATCGAGAAAGCTGGAACAGAATGGTTGCGCTTGTTTTTAAAGTGGAAGTCTTTAAGCATTTGAATGCCAGAAAGATGCTTTTTGTTAAGAATGACATCTTTCAATAACTACAATGTACAAATTTTTTTTACTAATTTAGAGGCATTGTATAAGTGCCTCAGGTACTACCATTCCACCTGCAATGATATTCCCAAGAAAAAAAATAAGCAACTTATGCTTACTAATGCACCATCTGGATCTCTTGATCTTGCAAATCCAACTTGATGGATGAATACAGAATTATTTGTAAAAATAATTCAACATCTTATATCAAAAACATTTGTGTCAAAGGAATATCCATCTCTACTTATATTTGATAATCATGAGAGCCACCTTATTTAAAAAAGTTCTTGATCTTGCAAAGAGTAATGGTGTTACAATTCTTACTATACTACCACATAGTAGTCGCAAAATGCAACGTTTAGATGTCTCTGTGTTTGCTCCATTCAAAGTTTATTATGACACAGTAATATTTTGGCTTCTAAATCATTCTGAAGTGTCAAACACTATTTTACAAAATTTCATTTTGTGTTAACATTACATATGAAAAAAATTTAATCACAAACATTCAAAGTGGATTTAGGAAAAGTGGAATATTTCCATTTGAAAAGAATGCATTTCTAGGAGAAGATTTTTAATGTAGTGTTATTACTGATAGAAACAATCCAAATACATATCAAACTAACACTGGAAAACTCTGAATACCAATAATTTGTTACTCTCACCAGAAAAGCTTCATGAGCTTCTTGTCAGTTCCGACCCAAGTACAAGTCAAGCCAATGATTCTAAAATTATTAACTTGGTTAACTCTTCTCAGTTTAAAGAATTTCTGAAGGCCACTGAAAGAAAAAATAAGAAAAAAAACTAGCAGTATACTAGCAACATATACACCAACAAATATTGCGCTGGAAGTAAAAGAAAAGAAAGATAAAAAAAAAAAACTTTTCATAGAAAAAAAATAATAGAAATTTTGCAATTAAATTTTAAGCAATTTAAATTTTAATTTAAATTAAGTGATGAACATGATTCATCCCTTTCATGAAGATACCCCATGGGTGGGTACCTTGATAAAAAATTTGAATATTACTCAATAAGTTTTTACAAGTTTGATCTTTCATATTTTGTTAATTTAAGAATTTAGTTTTAAAGGTATAATGCTAATCTATAAATTGCACTAATTGCTTAAAAAAAAAAACATGTTTAAAAAAGTGGTTACAAATCAAAAACCAAAACTGTATCATGGTACCCCACTCTCCTTTATATTTCTTTTATTTTAATATATATTAATCATTATTTTGCTGATCTATTGTGGTCAGCGCCATCAGGTATAATAAATTTTTTTATAAATTTGGCTGCATATAAACTTTTTTTAAAATACAAAACATTTATCTTACTTTAATATATGTAATCATTAATTTGCTGATCTATTGTGATATAGTAAAAATATTGAATAATAAAGTTATTATACCTAATGAAGCTGATCACAATAGATCAGCAAAATATTGACTGAGATATATTTAAACAAAATAAATATATGTATTTTTCAAAAAGTTTATATAAGTCATATTTATTGAATTCTACACAAAATTATTGTTAAAAAGTTTTATCGATGACTTTACAAATCAGTCTGTAAAAATCAGGTTTCACATTTGTGAAGAAAAAATCAGATTTCATATTTTTTAAGATTTTTTATAGTCAATGCTTTTAATTTTTATATTTATACTTTATATTTTTACACTACTTTTTTAATGAAGTAATAATTTAATTTATGAATTTGATTTTACTAGAAATATTTAGAAATAATAACAATATTTGTTATAGAGCATGTGTCAAATTTTCAAAATCTGAAAACCAGGACTCAGGCTCTTCCTATGTTTAACAACCTAAAAAAAATTAAAAAATTAATTGAAAATAAAATAATAGAAACAATTTGGCTGATTTACAGGGAAACCTACACATGTATTTGTTCTATAACAAACAAAGTTATTTCAAATATACAAGTGGGAGAGTCTTTGCAATTGGGTTAATTAGTTTAATTATTTTTTATTCTTTCAAGGACATACATTTTTATTTTTTCTAGAACATAAACTTTTATTTTTAGGACATTTCACATATTATTGAAAATACAATAATTTAAAAATATAGCAACTTCTTCATTATCTTTTTAATAATAAAACCAATTACACAAAACAATTTAAAAATAAAGCTTTTAGAGTTTTTTTGATAATAAGAAATTGTACATATTAAAACAATTAAAAATTTTTTTTTAAAATAATTTAAATATTAATCAATAGATTATATAAAATAACGTTTAACCATTTATTTAGCTTTTCCATTACCTAACACTTTTAAATTTTTATAAATTAAACTGTTAAAATTATAAGTAAAAATACTAATTTCTTTTTTTTTTAAATATTTATTTCATAATTTATTAGTCGAACTGTGCAATCTAATAGATGTACCCACGATCATAAACTTATTTAAATAAAGTTATTTTAATTTAATTTGCCAAGATGTCTTTTGATTTTAAAATAAAATTACTTTCAACTTTCCCCAAGATCCCTTTTCAATTGGCTAAAAACAAAGTTCATTGACTACTTTGAAAATGCCAACACACACATACACATATATCTATAAAGTATTTGCTTATTATTATGCTTTACAACCATCATTTTACAACACAATCATACATATTATACAACACAATCATACATATTATACAATACAATCATACATATTATACAACACAATCATACCTACAATTAGATTTGTTTTCAACAATCTATAAAAAAAAAAAAATTATGCAAAAATAAAAAATAAAAAAAAATTTAACTTGCTTTTTTAGACAATTCATAATAATGTAAATCAAATAAATTACCTCACTGGGTTTCATCCAATCATGTTTTCCAGTTTCACATCCCTGCTGATTAAGAAACTGATCAAAGTCAGATGTTCTTTTTTGGCAGCATGTCCAGAATTTATACCTATAAGCAAAACATTAAAATAGTCAGTTAATCAAATTTTTAATTAAAAAATAATAAAATAAAAACTAATTTCTAATGAAAACTTTCTATTATTAAAATTAAAAAACAAGATTAAATTTACCCTTCATGAAATACAGCAGAACCAGGATGGTATACACATTCCAAATTATTGCTACTCTCATTTAAGTATTTCTAATAAAATTTATTGAACAAAAAACATCTTTTACATTTTGATTATAAAACATATATGAATAGAAACCAAATTAACAACAAATTTTACTTATAAACTCACAGTATTACATGTATTACGTTTGCAAGGAGCACCTGGCTGAACTAAATCACTGATATTATCTAAAAATAAATCATATATTTAAAAATGATAACTAAAAAGTAGCCTATTAGAAAAATTTTAGCAAGAAAGTTACCTCCATTTTTTAGTTGCAAAGCTTGTTTCTCTTTACATTTCTCTAGTGCAGTTATAAGTGAAGCACTTACAGTATATTCCAACTTACATTTTGGCAAATCATCTCTAGAATAAAAAGAATAAAAATATCATTTAGAAGACGAAAGAGGATAATAAAAGAGATAAAAATATCATTTAGGAGATGAATAAGGATAATTAAGGAGATAAAATGTTGTTACATGTTATCAAGATATGTGCATAAAAAGTGAAGAAACTAGAGTTGGCTCAGTACATAGTTGCTTATTTATAGTAAATGTCATCTTAAAATTTAATAATCAATAGAAGAATGTGTATTAAGTATTATTACATAACTATAGATTATTACCAACTAAAATAAATAAAATAGATGCGCCATCTGAAACTTTGGAAACAAAAGTTTTGCCTATAACCTATTGTTATTATTCTAACCACTGAATAATATATTCCAAGCATTTTATGTATGAGTTGTTGAATATTTTAACATTATAATAATGTATTCCAAACATTTTATGTATGAGTTGTTGAATGTTTTAACATTATACATATGCATTATATTTAAAGCCAAAAAAAACTGAAATCATGTAAAAGCATACAAAAGACATGTAACAAATGTAAACAAAAAAGTCATTGTAAATAAAGTTGTTTATAAAAAGTCATATGAAAATTTTATAAAAAAAGTTTTTTATTTTTGTTTAACTCAAGAGCTAAAATAGTTCATCTCAGCTATAAACCCCATTATTATATGTTCTAATTTCGACGAAAAAACAGAATGACTGATTTACTCACAACTCTTCATGAATCTAAATGGATTAATGCTACAATAGCTGATAAGGTTAATAGTCAGTATCAAGGTTTATGTGATCGGTGCTGCTCTCACACTAAAATAGTTGTTAGTGCTGTTCCAACTCACTCAAATCAGTGACAAAACTCATGCACATTACTACTTATGATCTTAAACTTGTTCTTATTTAATTATTGGCTCACGTAAATTTGTCTTTAAAAGTCATAGATTAAATTGCAATGCAATATATGCAAAAATAAAGCAGTTATAAAAAAAAAAATTAACAAACTAATTGTTCTCACTTATTGGCAGGTAATTAGCCTTCTGAAGAGTGTGAATCACTAGATTAAGCATAAAAAATATTTTTATAATACAATTGTTTTTAAATTTTCATAAACTTTTTTAATTTATCTATTTAAGAAAATTCTAAATCGTATTTTTCTTTTTACAATTCAGCATTAGTTTATAATTGCAAACCTAAAAATCAGCAAAAGAATTGTTAGCAATAGATTTTTAGAAAATATGGTCAAAAATAAAAAGCTATATTGACTTGTTACCTAGAGATCATTTTGTTTATTATTACCCAGAAAAAAATATTGTCACAAAAAAAGTCAGACTTAATTCAGAAAACTAACCCAACCCATGCAACTTGACATTTAAAAAAAAAAAAAAAAACTTATTAAAGAAAAATTATAAAAAGCTATATTATTACCTTGGTCTTTCAGTAAGAAATGTATTTTTAGGTGTATCAGCTGCACTCTCCTTTATTATCTAGACATAAAGTGTATGCTGGATATTTTGTCTTAAAATTCTATTAATGTCTTATTTAAAAAATTTTCATCAAAATAAATGACAGAAGTCTGGGTTCTGGATCTATTTAGTGATTTTCTAGAAGATGGTTATATATTTTAGAAAAAAATATTTTGATACAAATCAAAAATTTAACAGATTAATCCAAGATTAACATACTATTTAACCATCCTACCTCACCTATCTCCATTGGTTTTTCAATATTTTTCTTTGGAGCTTCTGGTTTTACTGGATTATGTTTGCCTTTAGTACAGCCCTAAAACCAATTGAAAGTTAAAATTAATCTAAATAAATTTCAACCACAAATTCACTAATTGATAAGTCAAGATGGCCAGCTACTTAGTACAACTAAATTCCATGACTCTTCCCTGACTTATAATATTTTTCCCTGACTCAGTTATATTTTTAAGTGTGAGTTTTTAAATTTTTTAAATCTTGCTTGTAAATGCTTATAGACTGAAACATCCTATTTTCGAACATGATCTGTAAAAGAAATGTTGCTGTGTAACGTATAGTGCCCAAAGTATTTCAGTATGTGTTATATCATTTGGAGCCATAAATAAAGAGAAAGGTGGTACTGTTGGGCAGGAAAAATTTGTTGAAGCGATTGGCATTGGTTGAGAAGATTCAGAAGCTATTAAAGTTGATGTCGATGAAACAGTTGCTTGTGATACTCTATTTTTCCGTGACTTGTTAGTAAAATAATCAAATACAGTTGGTTGGCTTTTTAAAGATATATATTTTAAATTCTTTGCACTTTCTTCATGACTTTTGATTGCCATTATACTCATAATACTTAGAGAAAATGTCTTTTGGCGCACTACCCATAACCTTTGTTTTATCGTCAGCTCTATTAAGCCAACCCCATGATGGATGACATTCAAGAATGATTAAGTCATTATCAAAGTAAGTTGTTTTAGACATTTTAATTATGCCTATAATATTTAACTGGAAAAAATTAACATTGTATTAAGGTTAAATAAAATCATACGTTTCATTAGATTTATATATTTCAAAGATATGTAACAAACTTTAGGTAATGATATAATTTTATTTTTCCATACCATTTTATGAATATATGGCAAATGAATATAAATTTTTCTTTTACTTGATGGTTGTGTGGGAGTTTGTAGAAACCATAAAAAAAAAAAAAAATTTTGAGAAAGAGATTTTATTTCCTTTGATTTATGAAAAAAAATTTTCCCTTACTTTCCCTGATTTCCCTTACTAGAAAAAATTTCCCTGACTTTTCCCTGATTTCCAGTTGGCTGGCCACCTTGTAAGTGTTTATGCTCTACAAATTGTTTATTTAAATATATATTTTAAAAAATAGGTACTAACAGGCATGTTTAAAAACTCAGTGAAATCAGTGGACTTTTTCTTACAACAAGACCAACTCTAAAAACATATTTGACATAAATACAACAGAACTAGCCGTAAAACTTATCATACATTTTATTATAATACTTTTTTAAAATAATGATTAATCCTGAGATACATATTTATGATGAGCAAATGTGGCTCATACAGAAATAATCAATGTAAGTGAGTAATACACCAACAATATATCTAAGCAAACTAACCTTGTATGCATCATGGAACACTGGGATTCCCGGATGAAATTGACATTCTGTAAGATATTTCATTATTTTTATAAAATTAAGATAATTTAAATTCATTACAATCTGCTTAGAAAGAAAATCACACTTTTATAAACTATTAAATATTATATTGTAACACCTGACTATCTTTAAACTAATATGATATAAAATGCCTAGCATGAATTTATTATAACCATTATTTAATACCTAAGTTTTTGCTATAATATGCATTATAGCAAAAAAAAATTATCTTTGATTATTGTTTTAAACTATTTAAAAAAAACTAAAGCCAAACAACTGCTTTTTGGTATTAGTTTTTTTTCTTAAATTATACTAACCATTAATTGATAATTAAAAAATAATTAAAAAATTGACAATAGTATAAAACAAAAATGCGATTTTCTATTTGTAGCTTCTTGAATGAAGCTAAATGAGTTAAAGTGAGAAAAAAACATAATCAAAAAAAATATAAAAATGAGAAGTATAAAAGTTAATACCTTCCTTATTATCTTCCTCAAAGAATTTTTTATTGCACCCTTTATTATAACAGATTAGCTCATTCATTTTATTTATCTATGAAACAAAATATACTTTAAACTAAGCACTAATTGTGCAGAGACATCCCAATTAAACATATTTATTGCATAATTAAACGTGTTTATTGCATAATTAAACATATTTATTGCATAACCAGAGCGAAAAATACAAAAACACTGAGGTATACATGTTTGTGTAACAGTACAGAAAAATAAACATTAGTAATTTTTTTAAAAGGACTATAGACAAGCATATGAAATAAAATTTAATAACTCATTGAATACGACATAATATAAATTTGCAAGTAGAGAACAGTAATCTTTGAATATGTGTAGCCATGTTGAATTGTATAAAAAATTTAATTTTGTCTTTTTACATAATAAGCTGCTTTATATAGGGAAGACCGGGGTTGGTTGTCACATTTTTTTACGTTTTAGACTGCTCAGCTTTTATTTTTCATCAAATCAATGGCAAACCTTGCATGAAAGTAATTTAACTATTTTTGGCAACTATTGCAATATTTTTTATGTCATAGAGTGAAATATTATTTGCTGTAAACTCATTTATCAAAAACCTCTTCCGTGTGACAACCATTTTGTTTATATAATACAAAGAATAAATCTGAATAATCTGAAAAAAATAAAATACTAAAAAAAAGAAAATACTATATACCGAAAAATGTTATTTTTTTAAAACATTTAGTTTAGGACTATATAAGTATTTTTAAAAATGATATTTTTATGAATTGTTGTATGAAGAACACAATTCACAAACAAATCGGTGTAAGACTAGTGTGCATTCTTCATGAGCCCATTTTTAGCAAGCCTGACATTGAATCGACTGTTCTCTTGATCTGCTGTTAGCAAATGATTCACAACAATAGATGCATAGATACTCTATATCTCTAGATGAATTTAGGACTGTAGAAGTTTTTTCTTTGGCAAAATTTGACTCTATCAATCTTTTTTACTTCCATTCATAAATGATTTACGATTCTTAATAATATTTTGTTAATTAGTTTTAATTTTTATAATTAGCAAGCCATGCTTTGACAGGTGAGTTTGTAAGAATCATAGATGAACACTTTTTCCTACCTCTTTTTGACGCTAACTTTAGACCTGCTTTAGGCAGAGGCCTAATACTCTTAGGTAGTATGATTAAATTTTTTGTTTGCAGTTTAGTTTGCATTGCATGGAGTTAAGGCAATTGTGACAAAATATTTGTCCCCATATATTTTGTCACCATATATTGCTTGTCACAAAATATATGTCCCCATATATTTTGTGATAAGCAACCCCTTTTATGTAAGTTGCAAGACACCTTTAAACTTAACTAAAAGCATGTGAGTTTCATGAAAATTATTTGTGGATTTAAGTTACTCAAATGTATAAAAAAAATTTTTAATGTACATTAAAAGCACAATAAAATAAATTTCGTTTGGTAAAAGAAAATTTCTAAGTGAGCGAAATTTAATTTTTTCATATCAAAAACCTATAAAAAAGAATAACTTTTTTTCCACATTCAAAAAAAGCTGAAAATTACACTGAAAATGTTTTTTTATAACATTTCCATTGTATGATTTTAAAGTTCTAAACTTTATCTCCATTTCCTGTAATAAACTTTGTGACAACCAACCCACGTGAAAATCTGCTCTTGCCTACTCTTTTTGAAAAATTTTAAATACCAAAATTCAAAGTATTTTTCATAAAAAACTAGAATTTATAATTTAATGTAATTTTGCAAAGTAAGTAAGTTCTGAAAAGTAAACCTTTTTTTATAGGTAATGAGAGCTAGAGTGTTAACTCTCATTACCTATTAGTATCAACAATATTTTAGGTCCCTTTGCATCTATAAACATAATCACCAATATCAATTTTAGGTTTCAATACTTACTATTATTATTAAAAATTTTTACTTTTACTATCATTACCAACAACACTCTTATCACTTTTTAATACTAACATTACCAACAACACTCTTATCACTTTTTAATACTAACATTACCAACAACACTCTTATCACTTTTTAATACTAACATTACCAACAACACTCTTATCACTTTTTAATACTAACATTACCAACAACACTCTTATCACTTTTTAATACTAACATTACCAACAACACTCTTATCACTTTTTAATACTAACACCAACATTTTTTGCTCAACTAAAGATAACAGACTGAAAAATTTTCTTCTAATAAATGTAAATAATGCAATAATAAAAAAAAAAAAAAAAAAAAAAAAAAAAAAAACAGAATTTTATAACAAGTTAATTTTCAATGAAAACACCATAGTATCAATAAAATAATTTTCAAATTGCAGAACATTACTAACAATAAAGATTTTAAGATTTTAGAAAATATAATCAACTATAAAGATTTCAAACAACATATTATCAACTTATTTTTTAATCTATACAAGAAGTTGTTTTATATAAATTTGAACAAATTTATTTAAAAAGTAGCAAACATTTTCAATTTAATAAAATATATTGTAATGTATTTATTTAATTGTTTAAAAAAAAAAAAAAAAAAAAAAAAAAAAAAATTTAGGAAACCAATTAAAAAACAACAACAACAAAAAATTGAAAAAAATATTCTGTGTAATTCATTTTTTAAAAAGACATAATATTTAAATTAGTTTACAAACAGTACATTTGGGCATGTAATGTAATATATGAAACAATCTTCATATAATAATAAAATAATATAATTGAATAGTAGTTTATTGAAAAAATTTTCTATTTAGTATAATATATACATAAAATTTATATTTAGTTTAACTTATTGAAGAACTTGTGACAAAAAAAAAATAATTTTAACTTCAAGAAAAAAAAAACCTACCCCATATATTTAACATAACTTGTTTATTATTGAAAAAGATTAAGAAAAAGTTTAATTTTTAGGTTTATTGAAAAATTGATAAATTTTAAAATATTTTTAGGTTGATCATATGAGTTAAGGGCTTTACTAACAGAAACAAAGTTTGAAGCTAAGAGTTATAACTTCTTGATGTTATAACTAAAAAAAAGAACAAATTGAACATAAGAAAAGCATTAATCAGGTCTGATAAAAAATAGCAACTATTTACATAATCAAGTTTGACACACTTTCTTTTGTACATAAAAGTTATAAATTATCATACACTCAAGCATCAAACTAAAATATACAAAAAATAAAATATCTGTTTTAAACTCTGAAGAAAAAAAAAAAAACATTGATACCATTTGAACAGTTCACTGTTCTTTAACAAATAACTTATATAAAACCATGGTAACCATAAAGAAAAAAACATGGCCTACTATGTAGTTTAAAATTAGATGAAACTTTGCAAAATCATTTAAAAAAAAATTATAAAAAAAAAAATAAAATAAAATAACAACCTTATCTTGAGAAATAGTAAAGAAAAAAAATGACAATTATAAAGCACTTTCAATCTCAATTCGTTATTTATAATGCCGATAGAAAAAAAAAAAAATTTAAAGAATTCTTCAATGATTAAAAGTTTTGGGAAAAAAACAACAAAAACTGACTTTTTAGCTTTGAAATAAAAACAAGTACAAACAATTAAATGGAAAAACTAGAAACAAAAATTAAAGCACAAAGTATATGATTAAAATATTCATAAAATTATTGAAAATATATTAACATACTATCTTGCACAAAATTTGTCCTAAGATCATAAAACTTTAGGTTTACCACTTAGACAACATAAAGAGATTTTAGATTTTCATACAATGTTAAAGTTGCTAATATTGCATCAGTCTATTCCATGTAACTACATATACCATTTTTCCTTCCATATGAAACACTTTCATATATAGTAAATATTTTCGTTTGATGGCTGTCATCCTTTTTTAGTGGAAGTATTTTTGATACTGGACAACCCATAAATACTTGCAGTTCAAACTATTTGAATGTTTACATAAAATGACTAGGTCGTGTGAGTTTTTTGTAACAATTTCTGAAGTTGACTTTCATATGTTATTCTTTTCTCACAAAGCTATGAGATAAAAATCAAGATAAATGTAAATTTCACAAAAATATTTTTTAAATTTATTCTAAAATAAACAAAAAAATAATTTCTAAATATTTAGTTTTAGAGCATAGACTATAACATTTCATTAATCTCATTCATTTTATACCACATGTAAATTTTAATATTTAATAATTCAATTACTATTTAAGTTTCTAAAAGCAAATGAACCTAATGAAATAAAACTTATTATTTTTACTTGTTTGTAAAAAAAACTGAGGAAAATTTTATTTGAAAATTACACAATCAAAAAAAAATTTATTAATATTAAATTGTTATTACTTTTATTATTAAAACTTTTTAAAATATATTGAGAAAGTTATATTTTATCAATTAAAATTAGTGTGTGTGCGTGTGTGTGTCTGTATGTTTACAAACAAGTTAACACCAGGAACTGTATTTGGTTGTAAATAATGGCTTTAACTATTTCATGTCATATTTAAAAATTGAAAGTGACTAAATCTCACAAGAATAGAAGTATAAACACTAAACTTTAAAAATATTTATGTGTGTATATATGTGCATGTGAGAGTATATTAGGGCCACAAATTTTTGCTTTCATAGGTTAACTTATTAAAATTAGATGAACTTTGATTTGAAAGTAACTAAAAAGTTATCGGATTTGGTTACTTTTTGAAAAAGATTACCCAGCATGACCATATCCCATGGGTACCATTTATTAGTAAAAAAATTTTCTCTAAACATATATCAACCTGGGTCTCTTTAGAACAAGAATTTTAGAGAAATTTCAAAAAAAATAGAGTAAACTGAGGTTAGAGTAAATAGCTTATTTATTAAACCATAAATTTTTTTTGTTTGTTTGTTTTTAGAGAATTTTTTTGCGTATATAAAAATTGAGAAAATATATTTTAAAAATTAAAAAAAAAATAATCAATTTTTATAAAGAAAAAAAAAATTACTATTCCACTTATAATTGGGGATAAGTAAACTAGCTAAATTTTAATAAGAATTGATTAAGATATAAGGAAAATCAAGCTAAATTAATTTAAAAAAAATGAAAACTAATCTTATTAGAAGATAAGTTTACAAAAAAACTGTTTTAATCAAATATACGAAAAAAATCATTTATTAAATAAATAAATTTGAGTTGTTTCATGGTCAGAAGCAGGTTCACAGCATTTTTTCGTGCAAAAAACTTTTCACTAATTTTGTATTTTTTTTGGGTAAACACGATAAACAAACACAAGACTTGCAACTAAAAGCTTCACATTGTTTTGCACAAGTTGTTTTGAGTTGGCAATGCTCTTTACCTAACTCTGCTTTTTGTACCTCATAATGTGTTTATCTTGTATGTCTGTGTATGTGTGTCTCTTTTTTGAATATTGCACTTGCTGAGTTTTATCTCAAGCTTTACTGAAGTCTTGCATTTCTTTAATTGCTTTAACTTTTTGGCCTTATCATCTTGCTTTAGTTTCTCAAGCACCTCAGGTGACACCTAAGATAGTACTTAGACACTGATTAAATGCGAATACATGTAATAGGAAAAATTATTTGATTAATTAAACTACTCAATTTAAGTAGACCAAACTAATTACCTGGAATTAATTTAATTACCGCTATGAAGACTTTGGTGAGCCATTGAATAAATTATTTCTCTCCTACCCAACTCGACTTGGATGTTGTAAATACGGTGTTTGGTGATTCCCCTACACACCAATCTTTGTACAGACATGATATTGATTTGTAAACTATGAATTGTGGCAGAATGGTACTGGTAGGGTTGACACAATTACCAACTGTGTAATTAATTTTTTAAAAGCATTTAGCACCAAGCTGCAAAATATATGCTGTTTACCTTGATCGCCTTAAATCCAATTTAGTCAAAATTCCACAAATTACACAAAGTATTATTGTTGATAATTGTTTCAAGAAATTGTTTTTCAAGTGTATTAACATAACTTGTTATTTTGTCCTTGGTACAAGAAGAAACTCTGATGCTTAGTATATGACTCCATCATTTCATGGAATCTCCATACCATCCTTGTTCTGGTACATCAATTAGTGGAAACAGATGACTTTGATTTGTAGATACCAAACAGGCCCCAACTATTGCCATGATATCTGAGAACGTCCTGACGAATCCCTAATCGGCTAAACTGATAAGTACTGAAACAAAAACATGTACTACAAAAATAATGCTAGTCTTTTTTTCATTACTTTTTGTCATAAAGTAGATTTATAACTGTTTAACTTATCTATAACCGTTTAAAACTTAAACATTGATTATCTTAAAATATATATATTGGACGAGAGCAACAAGTAATTTTAGGGGAATGTTTATCAAAATGGTTAAAAGTTGAGAGTGGAGTTCCACAGGGTTTGTCCTTTGATCTTTTCTATTTTTGTAAAAAATTATATTAAACTATATGCAGATGATAGCAAAATTATAAATATTATTTAATCAGATAAGGATATATATATATATATATATATATATATATATATATATATATATATATATATATATATATATATATATATAAATTACAACAAGATATTGATAATATTATGAAATAGTTGCCATTATGGTTATTGAAATTCAATTATGAAAAATGTAAAATTTTGCACATTGGCTTTTAAAAATCGATGTATAACTTATTCAATGTTCGACACTGAAACCCAACAGAATAATCTTAGCAACATCAGAAGTAAAACTGGATTTAGGAATAATGATGCAATCTAATTTAAAATGGACATTTCACATTGATAAAGCTGTTGGAAAATCAAATCAAATGCTAGCTCTTATTAAAATTTAGTTTTCAGTAAATGCAAAAGAAACTGAACAAACCATAAAGTAAACAAACAACTATAAAGTTCTGGTACCTTGAAACCCATTTTGATAGTGGAATTATATTTTACTGATATATTGTGAGTAATCAAGGTTCATGCTGGGTCTCTTTTTTTGAAAATAAAATAAAATTAATGACATTTTAGTTACTTTCAAAGCTAAGATTATCTATTATTCATAGGGATAACCTATAAAACTAAAAAATACCAGTATATCTATATGCCCTATAAGTAAAATCAAATAGTATTTGTGTGGTCATATAATGACGTGAAATCGCATGCTATCCTAGCCAAGCCTATATATATATATCATATATATAGCCAACCCTATATATATATATATATATATATATATATATATATATATATATATATATATATATATATATATATATATATATATATATATATATATATATATATATATATATATATATATATATATATATACATACATACATACATACATTACTTCATAAGCAAGAAGTTCTGAGTTCGATCCCCACCATGTCTCTGTAGTACTACGCTTAACTTGCTTCTCTGCGCAGAGACCTTGTTTATCAAGGTTTGTGTTTCAGAGTTATAGAGTTGAGGTTGTAATCGCAATTATAGTAGCCTCCTCGGGAAAAGATTACTACATCTGTCCAACAACATCCGTGGAGTAGTGAAATAACATCCGCACATTTTTGTGTAAGATCATCCGCTTTTTTTCTTTATCTGTGCAACAACATCCGAAATTTCATTGATGTCTAATAACATCTTTAGAAAGATGTAACTACATCCGAGAGTTTTTCTCGATGTTTAACTACATCCGCCTAAAATAATGCATTATTAAAAATAAAATAAAAAAATAAAATAAATTTCCGGACGTAGTTACATCAGAAAAAAATCAGATGTGTAATTACATCTGGTTAAAATAATGGATTTTTAAATTACTTTTTTCTCGGATGTAGTTACATCCGAAATAAATCAGATGTGTAACTACATCTGGTTAAAATTATACATTATTAAAAAAAAAAATTCCATATGTAGTTACATATATAATTATTATATTATAAAAGTGCTGCTACATCGACTGACAAATAGCCTGACTCGCAACAGAGTGCTGCTACATCGACTGAGGGTTTGGTTTGGGCAGGCAGTCTATCAAACAATTAAAAAAAAAATTATTATGCTTAAAATAATGCATTATAATATTATTTTTTTTGGCGGATGTAGTTACATCTGAAAAAAATCAGATGCGTAACTACATCTGGTTAAAATTATGCATTAAAAAAAAAAAATTTGGATGTAGTTACATGGTTGCACGGTTGTTATTATACATCAATGAAATTTGGGATGTTATTGTTTGGATGTTATTATACATCAATGAAATTTCGGATGTTGTTTTATGGATGTTATTATACATGGCAAAAACGGATGTTATTGCTCTGACCCGCCTCCTCGACTGTAGTGGCCATATTGGCCTTGAAAATGTATATCATTAAAAAAAATATGTGTGTGTAAAAAATTGAAAAAAACAAGAGCTAAAAAAACATACTTCTTTCCATTCCATATTTAATTCTTTGTTTAAGCTTAGCAGAGTAGAGTTTTTACTTTGCAGTAGTAACAAACGAGCTTGCAACTCATTTCTTCTCATTTGAACTTCAATTGTGCTAAAGCATTTAAGAAAAAAATTAATAAAGATAAAATTAAATTTAGGAGTAGTCCTTAATATTTGACAATTTTTTAAAGAAATGTTGTCAAATGTTAAGGAGATATAAAAAAAAAATTAAATTCTTATATATATATATATAAAAAAAAAAGAACTAACCAAACTTATAATGCTATTCAAAAAAATTTATATAACTAACATTTAATTATACATTGAATTTATTTAAATTTGAATTTAACTCATATTATGATGTAAATAAAATGACATCATCCACCAACATAAATGCAAGGAAAAGGAAATACTAAATTTGTCAACATATTTTAAATTTCTTCAATAAAATTTGAGTGTTTAAAAGAAAAAATCCATTTACAATTTACAACCTCATCATTTTACAAAAAAAAAAAAAAAAAAAAAAAAAAAAAAAAAAAAAAAAAAAAAAAAAATCTATTTTATAAATAGAAATTTAACCCAATAAAATTTATTTTAATAAAATCATAGTAAATTAGTAACTAAGTAAATATTTCTAAATATTTATCTTATTTTTAACGTTTGCATAATAAACAGTATTATACCGAACAATTTTTTTTTTTAAGTAACTTGATTACTCTTTAATGAAAAAAATATCAATATTTAAATGTTCAACATTTCCAATCAGCTAAAGTATTATAATAATCAGTGAGTTAAATCCCTTTTTTTTGAAAACATTGGTGTACTTACAGATTTTATTTAGATGGAACATGATTTTTTTACTTTATATATATAGATTTTTGTTTAGATGTGATTATTTTTGTTTCTTATTTATATTGCGTGATGCTTTTATTATCATTATTGTGTATCGCTTGTGCAATTTTTATCACTATTACAAACATCACAAGCCTTCTTAACTGCTGCAAAGAACTCAATCTGAGTCGCGACGCGTTGGTACACTGGTTCCATGTGTGTATAAGAGAGGTTTCCCTTTGAGTCATAGCTCAGAGATTTGTCCATGCACAGGTGTTTCATCTGTTGTGGATTCCCGGAGCTCTTTACACTAGTCCCTTATGGGACTCACCGTAAATCCAAGGCATTCCCTGGTGAGGTCTTATGTCAGAGATTCTCCATGCATAGGTGTCTAATCCATCATGGGATCTTTGATATATGAATGACACTTACCAGATTGTTTTTAGTTTTTAATTCACCCTTGTAACTGACCTCTGATTGTAATAGACTTGACATTACACACATCAATAGCTTACACATCATACTTATTTTTTTATATCCTTTCCCTCTTCGTAATTTTTCTTTATTTCACTAGGGTTGACAGCTTGGTCTAGTGCTTTGATGCCCGTTTTTGCATTTTTTTTTTAAAATTATTTATGTTGGGACTAGGAAGTTATGCCTATTTTCTGTACTAGACTAATATACACATCTATTATGATTATAGTTTTTTTAGCTTATTTCTTCATGTTTTATATTTAAATAATTATCTTTTCTTATTTATATTGCATGATGCTTTATTATAATTATTACGTATCACTTGTGGGACATCACAATAGTTTACATATAAACATAATAAAATTCTGGATTAGAATATTTGAAGTTTCTAAATGATATAATTTTCAAGTTCAAATTTGTGCAACAATTTATGGACGACCCCTTACAAAGACATCAAACATGTGCCCTGCTGACATTTCGAATTTTAATCTTTCTTATTTGAGTTTTAAAAAGAAATTTTAAAATAATTAAAAAATAAATAAAAAGTTGTTAAAAAAGCAACAACATAACTTTTACTCTGAGTACATTTTTAATGAGCCTTTATAGATACATAATTACTTTTTTTCAGATTATTCAGATGACGTTTTATGCCATATAGATGAACAAAATGGATTAATGTTACTTTTAAAAAACTGATGATTGTTAATTTGTAAAAAAAGAATTATTTTAAAAAATTCTTTATTATATTGTTTATCTAAACATTACTAGTCCAATTTAATGTTTAATGTTTAATGCGCTTGGCTATAATTTTTATAACAAATGTAATTGGCTAAAATAGAATCTGGTAATGTGTAAATGGCTATAAATGGAAAATCTAATTCAATGTTATAACAATTACAATCTAATTTAAAATTAATATTTTAATTTATTATTTATTTTTTAACTTTTATTTAAAGTTAAAAAATAATTTAAAAATAAATTATTTGAGACTAAAGGACGAGTAACACAAGAATGAATTTTAGTAAATGGGACAAGAGACGCTAGCTCTTTAGAGCAGTGCCGGTTATAGTATTTGTAGAAAAGAGAAAAAGAAGCAACATTACAATGATGTGATAATGTTACATGATACACCCTAGGAAGAGAGCTTATGGAGAAGACTAGCATGACAGTACATAAAGTAGGTTGTACTAAGTTACTGTTTAAAGTGCTTAGTTACAATTGTTAGTTATTCTCCTGCGTTGCTTCTTTAACTAAACCATATTCTTTAACACTGTTTTAAATATAATACATTTTGATTAGAATTTTGCTTATTTTTGACTATGTTTTTATGTATGTATATATATATATATATATATATATATATATATATATATATATATATATATATATATATGTGTATATATATATATATATATATATATATATATATATATATATATATATATATATATATATATATATATATATATATATATATATATATATATATGTTTTGATACATATATAGTTTATTTTTTTTAGCTTATTAGGTTTATAGATTTTTCAGTTTTTTGTTGCATTGTTATTATTTTAAAAATGGTATGAAAAAATAAGATTGTTATTTTTTAACATTTAATTTATATAAATAAATGCGTGTATATTTCAGTAATATTTTCTCCTAGACAAAATAATTAGGGATAGAAAAAATACAAGTATTGTGTTAAAAGTAATTAAAAAACCAAAAAAAATATTATTTTTTTCTTTGTTTAATGTGTTATGCTTCTTTTTAAAGGTATTTGAATGAATATATATATATATATATTTATATATATATATATATATATATATATATATATATATATATATATATATATATATATATATATATATATATATATATATATATATATATATATATAATAAATTGTTAAAATTTTCAATTTCTAAATATTTCATCTTTTTTATTACTTTAAAGTAAAATATACTGACTGACACTGCTTCATTTTCTTTTAATAATATTGTGCATTGTAGTCTTGCATGCATTTAATAATGTTGTTATTAAATATTGTTTTATATTTGTGATCAAAATCTAAGTTTATTTCATAATCAGTTTATATTTATTTTTTATTGTCATACTAATTTGTAAATAAACTTATAAAAAGATATGGATTTCAATAAATCTTTAATTAAAATATAATAATTCCAAAATAATCTTGAAAACCTTTATAAAATTGGTTTAATTTTTATTTCTTAATTTATTGTTAAACTAATGTGTTAAATTGTAGAGGTAGGTAAAAAAATAATAAGAAAAAATTCCAAAATAAATAAACATCCCCTCCCATTTATTAAGCACCTAAGAGTATGTTAAAATGTAGTTGTTTTTAAACTTGAGAATAGTATATATATAATTTTATTTAGTCTCACATGATTTAATTTAGTTTTTTTTTTAAGTAACAGTGGTTTATTAAAGTTACTTTATTTTTTCTGCACTTTTTTGTAGTAGTAAGAAATTTTATAAAAAAAGATCACAAGATTTTTTACGTTTATTTGCTATATACAGTAGTAATACTACTGGTAATATGCTTGATGATAATAGTGAAATTGAAATGAATGATATTGGGCTTGAAGAAGTTATTAGTGCAAATGCTAATAGACAACTTGAAAATAATCATCAAAATAAAAGAGATTGAGCATGGCAAAATTAAATTTTATTAAACCATTATCAAAATTTAAGAAATGTTTGGCGAGCAGAAATTAATTTGAACCGTAATGAGGATAATATGTATAGACAAGTTAACAACAACTGTCGTCGAATCGGAAGAAATAGAGCTAGGCAAGATGAAATAATTATGAAACTAATCTACAAAGTGTATGAAATGCAGTTAGGCAAGGAAGAATGCACTGTATACATAGGTCATCCGGATTATACTTTTAAAAATTGGGAAAACTGTAATGGGTAAAATCTGTAAAATCTATGGAAAAAACATCGGAATATATTTTCCCTTAATTTCCTCATAATTTTGCTTTTAGCAACCTAATTTTGTGTAAGTAATGAATAAGAAAGCTTAAAAAACAAATTTATTACAAAAAATATATACCTAAAGTTGTATGTATGGAAAAGATTTGGATATCCGGAAAAACTAAAAGTTAAGAAAAATATCCAAAATTCCGGAAGTATTCGAAAAAAGAAAATCTCTATGTATAATAAGAAGTAATAATACTCCAGGCTTTAATTTTTAAGGAGAATTAAACCAGATCTGTTAGCATTGTGGGGCTAAAAATTTCCCTGATGAAACACATTTTCTATGTTGCCATAATGGAAAGGTAGTTTTGCCTCCACCTTCATCACTTCTGTAAGCTTTACAAGATTTATTTACAGGGAGTTAAACAGATCATAATTCCAGTATGAATTTTTAAAAAATATTTTAGAACTTTCTTTTGCTTCATTTACAGCTGGTGTGGTTCAACCTAGGAATCATAGGCCACAATGTTTTAGAATATGTGGTTGGGTTTTTCATTGTTTAGGTAATTTCAAGCCAGATCAAGATATTTCCCCAACATATTGTCAAGTGTATATCTATGACCCTAGGCTTGGTCGGGAAGCTGGTGCGATTGCACTTGATAACTGACCACGGAAATAATATTTAGTTGCGAAAAACCAGCCAGATTTTTTAGTCATTTTGAGAACATTTAAGTTTATGTATGTTTCCTTGTTTGTCCACAAAATAATAAGTTCATTTTATCGTAAATTTTAAAATATTTTGTTTTACGGACTTACATGGAAACATATTTATTTTTTATTTATTTATTCTTTTCATCACCCAAAAT